CATGTGCGTGTGCAAGAGGTGGTGTTGGCCGTGTGATGAGGAGCTGCATTTTCAGCCCCGTCACCCCACAGGCTGCGAGAGAGCAGGGACCTTGGGCGATGCCCAGGCGCTCCCCAGGCCTCAGCGGGAAGGGGCAGAGACAAACCCACACCTCAACCTAAACCCAGCACCCCTGCCCCAAAATACAGGGGCATTTGTGCTTCCCAGCCCACTGGCTTGGCATCGTTTCTCTCTCCTGGCTCAGCTGGGCCAGGCACCCCTCTGCCCGCCGGCTCCTGGGGAGTGAGGTTGTCGGGCCCTCGTTCACCTCTACACCTCTTTCCTTCCCTTTTCGAAAATTGAGCCATCAAGAAGCTTTCAACCTTTCTCTGCCCTCATACAGCTTTTGCAGGATTTTATGACAGCTGGCACAGGGTGAGACGGTAGCTCGCTGTGGATTAATAATAATTACTCTTCATTAGGACTGTACCAGTATCGAAAAGCCCAGGCACAATTTTTGGGTGCTTAGTGGCTAAAGCATACGTAAGAATACATGAGCCTTCCCCCACCAACCTTGCAATCCAGTTTAAAACAAGACACAATAAATGCTCGAAAATTCGTACAACACTGCAATAAAGATGAGATCAATGATAATGAGCAATGCAGGTGTATTTGGAAAAATTACTTTTTTCAAGATTAAAAAAAAACCAAAACTCTCAGTCATCTAACTGAGGAAGTTAAAGCACACATCAGGGCATCTGCTTGTCTGCTCTGAAGTTTTTATTTCACCCCTGTGTAAATAAACAGGGATCTACCTGGACTGTGACAAGAAAATAGTTCTTCTACTCATATAAAAGCCATTCTGCCCATCCTTTTAAGCCAGTGTTATTTTCTTGTCCTGTTCTTTGCAGTTTTAGGTGGATAACATTAGTTTACACCTCATTAGCAAGTACTTTTTACCCAGCAGCCAGACGAGAGGCCCTGACTGGACAAATGGCGTCTAGTCTTTATCCCTGTCTGCTGCTGACGGATGCTGTGTTTAGATGGGAGCTTAGCATTTATAGCAAATATTTTTTTGGCCAGGTCACAGCTTGCCACTAATGAGGGGACACTGGCAAGGGAAAGGTTATTCCCGTGGCCATACATTCACCGACCATCCATTACACACCAATGTTACAGTCCTTAGCTGGATCCAAAACTTTTAATTGTCCTTTTCCTGGTGCGCAAATAAAACTTTCAGATACCTTAGTCTGTCTACACATTAAAACAGGGCTTCGCTGTCCTCTCCCCATTGCCAGCACCCGCAATACTCTCCCCCTTGCTCCCATGCCACGCAGCAGCCCCCAACGCTTTCCTCTACGTTGTGTACCCAGCCTTCACGGCCAGGGTTAGTCTGTGCCGGGTGCCCACTGCTGCACACGCAGCACCATGCCGCCATGTAGTATTTCCCTCTACTCATTGTTTTTCTCCGTGGCCAACATGAACTTACTCCACCATGCTTTGTTGTATACACTACTTTTGTTCTTCATTCTCCCAACCCCCGTGCCACGAACTGCAGCACCCAGATAGCAGCATCTCATGGTACTTCTCTTACTCCTTCCTGCCCAGTCCTTCACCCTACGGACAAAGCCCTTCCTAGCTGCTTTGTTGTGACAAAGCCTTCACCAGCTGCTCTGGTCTTTGCCTCATGCAGCACAAGCCCCATAGTACAGGGCAGCCCTCATCACCAAGCCATTGCCATTGCCATAGGGGAGGAGAAGAGTAATCAGAGTTTAAAAAGGGAAGTCTGGACATGCAAGGATTCATTTGGCTGTGCGGTATCCAAAATGAAGTTAAAAGCACTGTGTGGACTGTAATATTTTTTAACCACTGCCACATCCAAATTCTGGCACAGATAGGCTGATACTTAAAGCAAAAGTGTCATTATCAGTATGTGTTGTGGGAAAAAACCCTAAAAATCAGTATTTTATACAAGTTCTTGACTTTAAGAAGTTGGGAAGAAGTATGCTAGTAGAATATGATTAAATACTAGCAAATGGTCTGCTGTCTTTGAAATAAAACTCATTTTATTTTTAAGGCCCAATAGCCTTCCTCTTAACTGGTCCCTAGCTTGCTACAGAGTCAAAATATTACTGTGTACAATGTGAGGAAAGTGGGATCTAAACTATCCCAAGCATATTTCCAGTTTTATTGCATAGTAACAACAGAAATCAGCTTTGATTAGCAAGATATGAATGCATTTTCAGAATCTGCAAGTTCTCTGCTACTTGCTAGCTGGTAAACAAATAAATAATGCAGTGTGAAGTGAAACACCTCTCTACTTTGAGCTATATAATGTAATTGTTGCAATTTAATTTGGCTCTAATGAGATTAGAGTTTGTAGATGTAATGTACTTTTGTAAAGGTACATTAGCATACGTGTGAACTACAAAAGCAAGTCTCTATTTTATGGTATTTGCTGACTAAGACCAGACTGTCAACCCCTTTACCTGACTCTGCAAAAGTATAATGAAGACTCTTTTTTTTGTTTTTGCCTAGTAACAGACTTTATGGGGTACCTGTACAGCTGCCTAGTTAGAGTAGCTGAAAGATGAGACCTAGACCTTTTTGATTAAGTCTCGGAGACATTTCGTTTCAACCTCAGCTTGCTAATTTTATCGCAGTGATTTTGTCCCCATGTATTGAAGAAGAAGAAGAGAATTCACTGCCACAGGAGGCCCAGAGGGGCAGTGAAATATCCATCCATGGAGATATTAATAACTCAGCTGGACTCAGCCCTGAGCAACCTGATGTCCTTCGCTCTGTCTTGCACTGGAGATTGGTCCAGATAACTGCCAAGGTCCCTTATGGCTGAAGTCATGCTATAACTGTAGGTGTCTAGAGTACACCGTCGTCCCCGTTGGTCAGTCACCCTGAGGGAATTCATTAGCTGCACCCATCATACATCGTAGCCATTGAAACTGCATGACTGCCACCCTCAGCATAGCTGCAGGTTTCTAAGCAGCTTCCAGGCGAGAGGGGCAGAGGGAACTTGCCAACACATCCAGCCAACTCACAGGACAGAAGGGGTGGTGAGGGTTAAGAGAAGAAAACCCATCTGGCTGTTGTTCACAGTGAAGTTATAATACTTGTTTTGAATGTGTTTCAGGAAAGGGATTTATTAGCAGAGGAACAATGGAAGTAAGTTAGTTTACATATTGCTTGCAATTGTTTTGTTAAATGAATTGTACATTTTTAGTGATACCAGAAACCTTTAACATTTTGTTCACAGAAGTGTAGTTAGTAAAGAATTTTTTTTTCTTGAAAAGTTTTACTGGAACTTTTTATTCTGTCAGTTTAATCAGTTCCTCAGCAAAACAAAACAAGGAACAGCTTTACAACAATCATTATGGAGGTTGCTGTTGTAGTACAATGTTTTCCTTCAGGTACAATAAATATAATGCTTCCTGTCCTTGCAAGTCTAATGTAAAGAAATGGTCCTTTAACCGTCATTTTAATGCTTGCTTGAGTGGGGGTGGAGAGGAAAAGCTTGTTATCTCCCTGTTGCTGCCTTGTCTTTTCTTAGGATGCACATCGATTACGCTACGTCCAGCTATAGGCTTGCCCTGCCAGCACGCCCGGTGCCCGTGTGCTGCCATGAGGGAGCACCCTTGATTGCAGCCTGAGGGACACAGAGTGCATCGCACCCATGAGCTGCTTCGAGATACTTAACACAAGCACGCTGTCGGCAAAGACGTGGTATTCTGTGGTACTTGCATAAAGCTGGGAAGAAAGACATTTGACGCTGGTATTGGTACCCACTTCTGTGCTGTGCTGTGGCATCTGAGCGCAGCATCCATCTCATAGCCATTTCTTTTTAAGTGGAAAAAAGCGTGGCTACTGTTGCACTTCTGCTTCTGAGGAAGGGATGGGAAAGCACCACATGTCTTAAACCTATATCCAGATTTCTGCAAAGTCAAAAGTTTTAACTGGATTCAAAGTTTGGCTAACATGGGATAGCAAGTAATAGCAGCCAAGAATGGCTTCGGGCTTTTGTGTAGTTCCTTGCTCAAATCTGGATCCCAACTGGTTTGACACTGGCTGTGTCTGAACAGCATAGCTGCTGCCCATCAGCCACTAAGACAGAAGGTGTTGATCTGCGAATCATCCAGGGCAGGCATCAACCAGAACATGCTGCAGCTCCCTTCCAGCACATATGCATGGTGTTTCTCCCCACAGGGACCCAAGCATGGAAGGGGGACAGTGCATGTCTGTCTCTTTAGCTTTGTTTCACAGTGCAGTTGGGGTGCATTCAGTGCATACACAGATCCTGAAGCCAGGAGGTGCTGTTGAGTCCTGAAATGTAGGCCCCGAAAGCTCCAGGTCAGAGGAAGACTAACATCCAGGTTAATTTGAGTCAAACTCAGATGAAGATCAAGATTCTTACTACAGGGGCATGAGGCTCCAATCTAACACAGAAGCTCACTCAGCTTTAGTTATGAAGGAGGTTGATTTATAGCTCCAAGACAATTCCTTCTCAAGGAAAGGCTCAAGGAAACTTTCATTAACTCTAGAAGGAAGATAAATACCAGGTACAATTCTCACTTTATAGGAAGGGAGCTGAAACAGGAGTTTAAGCCCTCTTCTGAATTTGCATTTACCTTGGGCTAAAAGATTATGTGGGGCTCAGATCTCCAATTACGAAATGTCTACTTAAAATTCATAGGCAAATTCATATGTATTTGTGGCTATATTTATGTTCAGGACTGAGTTACTAGAAAAAGAAAAAAAGCCCATTACTTTATTCTACATTTCCTTTTTCAGGATTATAGTTCTAGTTACAAAGACCAAGTATTCTCATCTAGTTTGTTACCTCATGCATAAGAACACTAACCTATTTCCTCATAAAGTCTGTCTCATACATAGGCTTACTGTCACCTCTAGGTATAACAAGTTAATCTAGAGTTTTGTTTGGTTGTTTTTTTTTAAATAGCACGCATATTTTCTTTTCAGGTTGCAACATCAGAAGATGCATGCGAAGCACCTTGGCTGTGAATCAATGCATATGGAGATGGTTCTTGTTCTCATTGCAACCTTGGTTGTTGCCCAGATTGTGCTTGTTCAGTGGAAGCAAAGACACTGTCGATTGTACGATGTGAATAGCTTGTGAGAAAGACAGCAGTTTTGGAGCTGTAGTGGTTAAGACATCATGTTTCTCAGGTAACAGTTGGGAGTCATAGCATACTCTTAAGGGTTTGCATCTAGCAAGACAACTGAGTCTCTGTGGAAAGCAGCAAGTCATGGCTTTTGGTCAGGTGGAGAATAGCTTTTATGTAGGAAGAAAAAACAACTTGTATTTTGTTTTCTGTGTATGCATACTGATGCTGTGGTCAGCCTTTAGTAGGTTAAAGCTTTTAAGGAAAATGCTTTGAGTTTTCAAACAACTGTCTAATAATGGACTAGGTAGGAGAACAAAGTCACTACCCTTATCTAGCTGAAGTAATGCTACAGAGAGTACTAAGAGAATCCAAAGCCCCTATTCATCAAGTTACTCATGCACATGCCTAATTAGAGAGAAAGCTTGTCTTGTGGTTAAGGTGCCAAAACTGGGGCTTATGGTGCTTCAGCTCACTTCCTTTCCCCTACTACAGAATTCTCTGCAAACCTGAGAAAACCAGAGTGACATGATTTCCACCCCGACCTCCCTATTCACTAGTTAAAAAAAAGTTAGGCATCTCAGAAAGGGCCAGTCCTTAAAATACAATGTGAGGTTTAAGTAGATGTTAAACAAATGATGGGGATTACACAGATATTTCAGACAGGCAGAACTGTAAGCTCACAAGCAGCTTCTTAGCTTTTCCATCTTCATCAGCTGATGAGAGTCCTAAGCCATCTGTGGATTGAAATCCAGTTTTTGGTAACAGAACTTCTTAACAGCAGTGACATCAATAACTGTCACGATCAATACTTTATCTCTTGACAATTATTCCTCAGACTCTGAAGCATCATACCCCCTGATTTGACAGGTCTGTTAAACACTTAGGAATGAAACCTTGATACAATTTACAGAAACTGTTTTAGTACAGGATATAAAACCAGCCTGATCTATGACAGCTTTACTGTTAGAGGAGTTTCACAGTGGCATAAAATTGCAATACAATGATTGTGAAACAGGCTCTTCAGCAATACTTTACGGAGTTAGGAACAGTGATGAAATGTTCATCATGGCAACATATATACAGGTGAAATGTCTAATGAAGTCACAGATAGCTCATTGAGGATTTTAGCTTCATGTCACTAACTCTCTACCTTTACAAACACACACTCCTAACCCTGAGCGCACACAATACCTGAGCACGTATAGTATAATCATATACAATACTACTTTACCATTATGTTCTCTTTAACTTCTCTTCTAGACCAGTTCTGCTGTATGATTCAACCATTTTGTGTTCATGTTAGCATCTCAGTTCAGAGCTTTTCAAGTATTTCTCTCCTATCAATTTTTGCCTTACTGATTTCAACAGATATTTAGAATAAAGAACACAACACTGAAGTGACTGAAGTCGCTCAGACTGTCCATGTCTTTGTTTTCCATTGAAAATACTTTGCATGAAACTGGTACTGAATCAGTGCTGAAACACGCTTGAACTTTAAGTATGCATATGATGATGAGCGGCTGGGAAGGTCCCTGTCTGCCTGGGAAAGCCTGCGGGAATCTAAGCAGCATGCACTCTGTGTTGCTTTGGCATTATCCTCCTTAGCAGTACTTGAAGTTAGTTAACGTGTACTACATAGACTTAGCCTCTGTCAAAAATGCCAATAGCCTACACTTGTTACAGTCCTATTACTTGTGTAACTTAGTCTTCAGCAATTGAAGCTTCATTCCCGGCTATTAGTTTACAGGAGCCGGTCACACCTACAAAGTGACATAGACAATATGGAAAAAGTACATGTAGTCTAATTTAGGGAGGCTTCACTTTAATAAGACTTTGTGATGGTTTTTGTGTTTTGGCAGTGCATTTTAAAATAAACAAAACATCTGCGCCAGAAACGAGTTGGGGCCTCAATTTTCAGTACATAGCTGTGTGGCGGCAGCAAGGCCTCCTTCTCCAGTAGAAGAGGAACTGAAGCAGAGCCTCTTTCAGTAGAAATAGTAGCACCAGAAGCTGAAGTTCACCTTGCACTGGGTTTTTGCAGTTCCGCTTCACGCTCTGTTTAGTTGGGAAAGTAATATATTCTCACACCTACCACCTATCTATGTATGAAGTTACTTTGTAATAGCGAACACTACTCACAGTGGGTCTCTGCCAGTAGATGGTTTATTGCATTTATTCCATGTTAGGTAACTTAAGAGTGTTTGTCACTAAAACAACTCACAAGTTTGTGTATTAAGTTATAACTGACCTCATGTTTCATACCCAGATACTTTTGTATAGTTTTCAAACACACTGTTGATCTCATTGCATTAGCTTGCTTTTTTTAAAAGCATGTCATGCAGCAATGTTAAAGTTACAAATTTCTGCCAGTATAGTAACTGCCAAAATCTGATCCACTGTACTTTGAAGACTAACAAATAGGACAAACATTAAGATACAAAGTTGAACAATTAATGAGATCCTTACACAAGATAGATGAAAAATAACTAGTATACATTGTTGCATCAGATGAGGAAACCCTCTGATTTAGGAGCAGAAACTGTAAAGATGGTCACATTTAGGATTTAAACAACTTAGTTAATGCATACAGGAAATTGTCCATTTGACATAAAAATAAACAACAAAAAAAATAAATCTACTGCTCCCCTAAGTACAAGCAGGTCTAGACTTCTGCATTACAGTTCTTCCAGGTGGCAGTTATTATGCTTGTGTTCATGTGCGTATCATTTTTGTTTGATTTGGTAGGAAACATTTAAATAAGTCAAAATTTGAAAAACAACCACATGCTTACTAAAGAGAAAACAGCCCTCCACTTTTGCTTGCTTACGCATTTCTCTTACTTGCCATCCAGCTTTTGACCGCTTGGTTTGTGCCTGTATAGTTCACATACAGGTTATGCACAACAGTGTCTAATACTGAAGAGAAGAAACCAAACACTTTCCCATACTTGTAAGAACATGCTTGTATCTTTAGGAGCAAAAGAGAAGGGAAATTAGACGAAGAGGTAGAACACATTATTTTCAATGGGAGAGGTAAACCTAAGGCTCCTTTTCTCTGATCAAAAACTACTTTCTTTTCTATTTTTTGTCCCAAGAGATCAACAAAACAAGTAGCCAGCCCTGCATTGCATATCATGGCTTGGAAGGCAGCGTCAGGTGACAAACATTTCTGTCTGATTCTTTGAGGTCATGGTGGGTGTTTGCACGTATACATCCCTGCTCTGGATACTCATGCTATTCTCAGACATAGTAAGAGCTCAGAGAGAATTGCACAGTCCTGTTAGCAGAAATAAAGCAAAGGATTGCAGTGATTGACTCCCACCCTCCCTTCAAAGTGCTTTGCAAACACGTGAAAAAGAAAAGTTTGGTTTCTTTTTGAAAGAAAAAGGAAACGAAGGTCAAAGGGAGCATAAAATCAGCCCTAAATGGAGAGGGCATTCATTAGCTTGCTCAAAAAGAACAAAAAATAAAAAGCAGCGACTACTTACTAGATGCAAGAGAAACAGCAACAGCCTGTACCTTCCAAAAGAGCCTTATCCAGGCTTATCCAGAATATAAAATGTCTCCTGGAAAAAAAAAAGGCATGCTGGGGAAGGCTCCTATTTCAAAGAGCCAAGAGCAAAAAAAGTTGCAGCAAAGCAACCAAGGCTCAGCTGTGGATAATTTTGGCAAGAGGGAAGAGATTGCCCTTCACCAGATGGCTACATATAAAGTAACATGGGTGTGAGCCTAGCATGGGGGGGCGGAAAGGAAGAGCTTTTTCTAGAAGTCTTTGCCTGAAATAAAATATAGGTCATTCTAACAATTGTGTTTTTTCTTTTACATGGTAGCTGACAGTTTGGTATTAACTTTCATATGTTGGGGAAGCAGATTAGAGAAAATGATCATTTCTCAGTTACTTTTGAGGTTATTGTTATTTGAGTTTTTCAAAAATAAATATGGAGCCCGTGTTCTGCTAATTTGTATTGTAAAAACCTGATTTTCAATAGGTTTGCTTCTGTGTTCAGATAATGCTCTCATTTCTCCATTTCACTCACAAATTTTGCATTCCTCTAACTCAGTGAGGTGCAGACAATTATGTGCTTGCAACTGTATTATGTGCTGTGGGATGTGGGGTGGCAAGGAAGAATGCTAGTCAGAGAATTACCATCCTTGAAAAACCATTTCTATCCTGTCCTAGCCTATCTTATCCATTTTTCTCAACACAAAGACAGGAGTCTAGCATATCAAATGGGGAAGGAAGGAAAAAGCTTATTAGTGTTCTGACTCTGTATTTTCCCAAAGGAAATTCTGACTATCAGGTGCTCAGCTGATTCTTATAATGCAATTTGCTTGCTGTTGGAAGCTGTCCATTGATGAAAATTAAATAAATATGATATATGTGGACAAAGTTGTTCTCTCCTGGCATAATAGAAATCTTAAAATATCTGAGATAGAAAGGCAGATTTGTCATGGTCTCAGAACAATCTCAAACACAATCTGAAGCCTTACTTCTTGTCCCGTAGGTGGTTGCCCATTTTACTGATTATATATCTTGTATCATATGACAGTCATGTAATGAGAACTTACTTTGGAATACAGTTGAAAAATGAAGCAGCATAGTTATGACAGCATTCATTTCTATACCTAAGTAATGAGACAAATCTTGAAAATAAGGTTGGTTGATTTACTTAATATAGAAATCCCTGCCAATTTCCAATGTACTATCAAGTATAACCATATTAATTTAAAACTTAAAAAAAGCCAAACAGCTGATTTATTATTTCTTCCATGCATATGCTTTTGAGTATTTGAATATGTCTACATCAAAAGAAACTAGATTTTTAGAGAGCCAGTTAGCTTGCGTTGCCAAGTTAACAAGTTCTGTTAAGGTCAGTCTGTCACAATAAATCTAATTATTACACAGTTATTTTCTTTATGTATGCAGTTTTCACCATATGCTATAAGATGGAAAGGATAGTGGAATAATGCTCTTCTGTTGAATTTGCTGGTGATAGGCATTCTTACTGGCTCAGAGTGGGGGGAGCGTTGTGAGGGGAGCAAAGGACAGATGGACATTTTTCAGTTGGTGCTTGTATGACCTATTTAATTTGCATAATTAGAAAATGGGAAAGTTGTCTATGACGCTGATGCTGACTTCAGTTCTAGGTCTTTTTGAGCTCATTTAAAGTACGGTAATGAGAAAAACATTTTACCTTTGGGCAGCAATCTGATTTGTCAGGAAATTCCTCCTGCTATGATGGGTGGATGAGGAAAATTTGGAATAATATGATCCAGATGTTAAAGCTCCCATTTAGCAGCAATGCAGATGTATTATTTTATGGAATTGTCCAGATGGTGACCTTCCAGTATTAATAATAAATCAATACTGGGGTTTTCATCTGTATAACTCGATTCCTATCTTTGTCCTCATTTACATGACAAAATACTCATGCATTTCTTGTAGAGGCTAATAGTATTAAAACTAACAATCTGGAAGACATAAAAATCAATGAGGAAATCTGAAACGATTACTGCAAACAATATATACCAATTGATCTGATAACAGCATCACCCGAGAGAAGGTTGTGATACCATTTTTTAATTAATTAGCATTTCATTTTGCAGCTGACATGATAATAAAGTTCTGTTATAGATTTGTATTAGAAAGTAGCTACTTTACTGAAGATGTGTGCCTGTTCAGTTTTGGCTTTGTCAGTTAAATTCAGACTTTACTTTCAGTCCACTGAAAAAAAAAAGCAACCCACAGTACGTAAGCACATAGGAGAGGGATCACATTGGACAGTAGCAAGACAGGCAACAGGGAGCCTCTGGTGGCCTCTGGTGAAGGTGAGGAGACCTCAGGCTCTGCGGTCAGCGATGTGTAGGGACCACCGACCTGTGGCATGCCAGAAGGGCTGCGTGGCATGGAAGGAGCTCTGTCGCTTTTATGGTCACAAGCAGCAGACTCTCATCCCGTAAAGCCAGAGCTGCAGGGTGAAGAAATGCTTAACAGTGATGTGATCTAATGATGCTGTGTTGTTGTCTTTTACAGGTGTTTCTATCTGTTAATTTATTTAAACTTATATTGTGAAATACCAGTTTGCTCAATAGTTGCATGCTTTCTGGGGTTTGGGGGGATTTTTTTTAAGAGTTCCTCCTTTTTCTTAGGAGAAGAAGAAGAATCCAGTCCTGCTTCAGTTGAAATGTGTGGCAAAACTGTGTTAGGTTTCACAGGGAGTAATACACATTCCTTCAGAATTCTACTTTTTGGGTTAAGGAAGGAGATTCATCTTCCATAGAAACAGCTTTTTACTCTAGATGGATTGTGCTTTTTGTTTGCTTTTAAAAAATCCCGCCACCCCAAACCAGATATAGATTTGAAAACCATCTCGCCTCAGATTCTTTTTAAATTTTTAGTAACCTTTCTGTAAAGATGTAGGAGCTAACTCTACAAACACACATTAAAGTCAGTCTTGCTTTATCTTTGTCATCATCAGGCCTCCTCAATCCCAAATCCATGGTTTATTAATGTGATCATGGGGAGAACTGACATTACAGGGCTTTTGACTCTTCAGTGCGTTTCAAATATTTGCTTATTGGAGAAGAAGTAGAATATTTCATCACTGTGGGCAATTCAAGCAAATATATATATTAAGTTTGATATAATTTCATTTAGAAAAAAGGTTTAAAAGTTTAAGCCACAGCATTTTGTTGTGCTGTAGAAAGAGTTTTTAAGAAAAACCTCCAGTAGTATGGTTATGCAACTGAGCGGCATCCCAAATTAATGCAACCAAATGTGCCTTTCTGAAAGTTTGTAAGAGCAGCTCTAAGTCTTAAAGGCCAAACTTCCTCCACCAATTTCAGAAAACTTGCTCACAAAGCTTTAGCCCTGCAGCCATCATATATAATTTGAGTTAGAAAACAGACTTTAATGTTTTTTTCAGTACCATTAATTCTATTAATAGACAGTTTAGTTTTTTGAGGATAGGATGTAGGGGTTTGATGAGTTGTATCTCAGTGTTATAACCATTTACTACACTGGCATTACTAATTATTTACAGGGTGCAAGGCAGACTAACATCATTACTCTAGGGTCAAAGGCCTTCCTGTGTCAGATGCTGTACAAGTCACATGTTTTTTGTATAAGTTTTACAGTTTGGCAATCTGTTAATCAAACCTAACCATGCAAAATGGAAACATAGGATGTCATTACTTCAAAATGACTGTCTCAATTTTGCCAACAGTTAGTCACACTGCTGCAGATGTGGGTTGTTCCTCTTTATTTCATCATCAGACTTTACTGGTGAAGATCCCTGTCCATGTGGGGAATGCTTTCAGTTATTACCAGTTACATTACTTTCAGAGCAACCTCCAAGCCTCTGTCGGGAAGAACACCACAGTATGTCCTTTTTTGTTGGTTTTGCCTTGGTTTTGGGTTTTTTGGTATTGTTTCTTAAAGGAAACCTGTAGAAGGAGAAGAGCAAATAAGAATTTCCCTGGAACAAATCTTCACAGATTACAAAAAGGGCCATTAGCTTTGAACAGAATTTGAATAGAATTTGAAGGAATCTTCCAACTGTAGTACGAATAAGTTCCTCTAAACCAGTGTTTATCAAACATGATATGCAAATAAAAAAGAATTAAACAAGAGTTAAAATTAAATTCATTCCATCAGTTCCATCTTGGTTTTTCATTCTGCAGACTCTTACCATCAGCATTCATCCCAGGTGTTATTGAGCCTGAAGAGCTCAATTTGGTATACATACCAAATAGTCTGAATTTATTCCTTAGAGCCCTCTCTGCCTCCCTAAGAGAGGTCTGTATTCTTCCTTCTCCAGTCTTCTGACATTCCGCCTCTCCACCCTGGGCTCACAAAGACAATTATTAATGGTTCAAGAGATTGCTTCTGCTAACTTTTAAGTATTGTAGATAAATTTCATTGGTGGTATACTTGACTATAACTTGACTATATCTAACTATATATTGACTATATATATAAATACATATTGGCTTTATATAACTTGACTATATCTAACTTACCTCAGTTGTTTTTCACCTGTTCTGGTCCTGTTCTGGCCTATGTCTGCCTCCTTCACAATTCCCAACTGTTAGTTTTAATTATGTTAGCAATCTGTTCACAGTTACCATTTCTTGTGAAGACTGAAGCAAAACAAAAAGGTTTTGCTTTTTTGTTTTCCCCTGTACTTTTTCCTGTATTATACATTTTTATTCACCTTTAAGTAAGGGAGAAATATAGGAGCGTAAGTCTTCTATTGAATTTATAGGAATACTTCAGTAGAAGCTATGTATGTGGCATTTTATGCCACTCTGCAAAATATGCAAGATCTTGAGCAATATTTCTTTTCTCTTATCCATAGGTTGGTCTACAAATGGTTCCTCCTGATCTGTAAACTGAATTATGCCATTGGAATTGTGGGTTATCTGGCCATAATGTTTACCATGTTTGGATTGAATTTATTTTTTAGGTAGGTATCTTCAGGTAAAACTGGGATTGTCAACTGTTATGATTTCCTATTTGATAGATTTTACTTTGTTTGCAGTGAAATTGCTCCACGCTGGTCTCTTCACCACCCACCTCAACAAATGAAACCCCTTTTACGTTGTGTAACTGTAGGTTCTCCTACCTCTTGATTTTTATTATTGCATAGTTGGTCTGAAGTTTGATATTTAGTCATTTCATTACTTGTGTTTGTGGTGTGAAGAGAAGAGGGGAAAAACCTTAAACTTCATACAGCCACTGTGTTCACTCATTTAATCCCCTAATCTAACTGCTGAGTTAATCCTCAGTCCTTCATTTATGTACCTGAAGGAGATGAGACATAAAAAGACTTGATGTAAAGGACAAAAATAGATAAGCACATTCATATCAAAAACACATTATAATTCTTTCTGATAATTATGATTTCCTGCTCTACGAGGCTATAATGTTGCTAGGGTGTTCTCCTCTTTTTATTTTGACTACTGCCAAAGACAATACTGTATGTCCAGGTGATTCTCAACCTAACCTCTTAATCCAGCTAGAATTTTTGCCTGGGTAGAATTTGAATTTTCTTCATGTTTGTTCAGGATTTCTGTCTTACTAGCAGCCCAGTCAGAGCTACTGTGCAGGACTCTGAGGTGCCGTCTGACCAGAAATTCCGGGGATTCCTGAAGAGCGTGTAGATCAACTACATAATGCATCTGCTGTAAGTCCAACACTTCTTGGAGGTATTGGAGATACTGCACATATGTAAATCAGCTGTTCCTTTAAGTGTCAGATTTATTGTATAGTTAATTGACCGAAAAGTACGTAGCTCTGATGGAAAATTCTTGGCAGAAACTTAACAGTCTTGTGTTACCAATACTGTTAAGCTTTACCCTGTTGTATTTTATTTAACCAGCTAGATTCCCCCACCAGCATATTTTAAAGATACAACTACAAAATTTGTTACCTCTATTTTAAAGGTTCATTACTTTGTGCCCTGTTGCAGCAGAAATGACAAGTCCTTTTTAGTGTTGAGAAGCTTCAGTTTTATGAGTATTTGGTAGCCAGGTTTCAGTCTCCCAAGACCTGTAACCCATACAGTCTCAGAGAGCTGACAAGAGACATTAACATTTTCGCAGACTCTATTGTGTTGGGGTTTTTGGGGGTAGGGGGTTAAAGACCACTTGCTGCAATTTAGCAAAGATTTTATTCTGAGGAATTTGTATTCAGGAAAACAGTGGGCTCTTTCAGCTACAGAAACTTAACATTTCTTTGACTGGCATCTTACACCTTATTGAGATTTGGCTGATCTTGTTGCTTCTGCAAAACAACGAAATATATCTAATTGTTCTGTATAATAAGACTCTAAGCAAACTCCCTTTCTATAAGAAAATGTGTCAGCTTGGCCTTCCTGTAACAGAGCTGAGTAGCTGTGGCTCCAAAAGCAGTTCATAGCCTACTTTCAACATTGCTTGCCGTCAAGCATATTGACACTTCAAGTATGAGGATGTCTGCTGCTGCAAAAGAAAATGAAACTAAACCTGCAGTTTGAAGGAAGCAGGAGCTAACTGGAGTAAAAATCTTGTTGATATTTTATTCTGGCATTTTGGTCAAGAACAGACTCGCCCGAGTACTCTTTTGCGGTTTTATGACAGAATCAAGTCTGATGACTCCATGGATTTTGCTGTGACTGCTTTTTTACGGACTGTACTATGAAGTGATGGGAAGAGACTTTGCAGAAATTTGTTCTGACTACATGGCTTCCACCACTGGTGTAAGTGCTGGGGATCATCATCCTGAATACCACTTGCAAGGACTGGAAGTGAGCTCTTCAACCTCTTGTGCCGCTGGGTTCGTGAGAATAAAGTCTACCAGATACTCTTGCAGTAAACTAACCTCATCTTTCCAGGAGGAGAGCTATTCTTGTGCCACAGACAAACTGTTGAACTCCCTTCTCAATCTTATGATTAGAAGAATAGTCTTAATGAAGTAGTAGCCAGTGACATATGCCAGGGCCTGATTTGGGGTTTCCAACACACGGGTCCCTATGTACAAGAGACTATATAATTTTCCTAATTGCCATGGGAAGACAAGCTTCTTACTTCCCCAAAGTCTATGAAAGACTCTTCTTGCCCTTCCTTTTTATAGCTCTTATCTTCCCTTTCCAAATAAGGTGATTACCTCAGCACAATTCTCTTATGTCCCCGTTGCTTAAAATCAAGCAGATGGTTGTTAAAGTTCTTGCATCAGCAATAAGATTTTAATTATTTCTTGGTAACTGTGCATCCTGGCACTAGTAAACTAAGACAACTGTAGCCATTTTCATGCTGTCCTTATCTCTGATGGCACTTAAAATGTGTTTATGCATCCTTGACTCTAAGCAAATATTTTGTTGTTCTTCGGTTTCTTTTTTTCCTGTAAACTTGATCTTGACAGTTTTACAACATCAGTGGCATACCAACAAGAAATTTGTCCAATGACATCTGTGCGGTCTGCGGGCAGAAAATTTCTGTGGATATAAATGAAGAAGGGATCACTGAAAATACCTACCAGCTGTCCTGTAATCATGTGTATCCTTTCCCTGTAATTATGGAACTGTTGTTTTCTCCTCTTTTACGCTGCATTAAAAAATAATAAAAAAGGCAATAAATACCAAGAAAAAAAGGAACCAAAACCACATTCAGAAACAACATAGCACAAAAGTAAAAATAGGAGCATGAAATATATTTCAGTTCTGTGACACAGGTTGAGGCCACGCAGCTTTTTGACAGACAAACTGATGCAAGAGTGGCTGTAACCTACAGTTTCAGGCCTAAATCCGCCTTCCAGGTACTTCATGCACAGCCTGCGTGGGTGTGCCTGGCAGTACGTTAGGCCAGGCGTGTTGACCATGGTCAGGTCTGCTAATTCAGGCTCCCATGTACTGCAGAGGATTTCCTCCGGCTTTGCCTGGGGCTGTGTTTGCTGGGTAGTTTTAAGGCAGATGTGGAAGCCTTCTCAAGCGATGGCACATACATACCCTACAGCCTGACAGAAGACCCAATGTTTCATACTCGGGGGTACCAAGCAACTCAGCGTTTTGCATTCCAGAAACTAAAACGAAAGGTATCGCATACAATGCTACATATCACCCCCTTCTGCAGTTCATAAAAGCATCCTGGCTTCTTGCAAGCTGGAAAATATGAATACCAGTCTGGATGTTCAGGACATTGGAGTCAACTTCAAAATAATTCTAAATATTCTAAATATTTTAAGTCATTTGAAACTGCTCAGTTATAAAACAGGGCAGTATCCATAATCAGTCATTAAAATTATCTATTTATGGTTTGATAGGTTTGCAGATATATGCACTGGGCCTTGTTTATATTTGAAAGATTCCTTAACAATACACCTGATACCAGGTTTCATTAATCCTGCATCCATGGTTGGTGCATTGTTGGCAAGAACCAGACTTGCCCAGACCACCCTGAGAAAGTTGATTTGAAAAGGATGTTAAGTAACCCATACCCTCTCCCTAACAAGTGTGCTTTTGATTTGGATTTTCTAAACCGTAGCCTGATTACTTACTAATTCTTGTTTTGATCTGCAGTAGAGGGATGAGATGACCACATTAAATAAATGGAAAACCAATTATTATTAAGGAACAATTATATTTGGGGAAGATGATAGTTCTGTTTGGCTTTATCTTATCTAAGACCCCAAGCAAGCTAGGAGAAGAAAAGTGCATATGTATTTTAAGACATCCGGAAATCATTTTTATAATGAGAGGAACATTTTAAAGAATGTAAATCGCAGTTTTAGAGAGACCATGCAGTGGATTTTGCTCTTTAGTGAAATAACAAAATTGATATAATCCACTTTCAGAACAAGTGCTGGTTTTTCCCCCTTCTCTTAATAGTTAGTAAACAACATTTTTCCTTTAGCAAATGAAATAATAGTTGAAGATCTGCTGCTGCATCTGTAGAAACTTGCTTGAGTGGAAGCAAAGTTTGGCTTACTTTTTTGAAATCTATTTTAACCATATGTGGGGAGGATATTTAATTTTAACCTTAGCCCTATTAAAAAGGAAGTAAATTAGAAGAGTTGAAAAGAAGGCATTTCAAAATTTTAACCCAATACTTTTTCTTTGATTCTGGCTAAGAAAAACACCGAGATTTACCTATTGTTGCATTTTCTCTCCAGTTTCCTTAACAACAGATTAGGTGGGAACGCACACGTATCGTATGGACAACTTTTGGACTGGCTCTGCTATCTGGTGGTTTGGCAACCGGTTGTTACAGGCATTGTCCAACGCATTAATTACTCACTGGGTCTAGAATAGGACTCACTATGAGTGAGAACGCAAAGTGTTGGATATTTACCTGTTTACAACAATATGCATATTCTGTACTTAATTTTAAAAGACTAGAGAAAATAGCAGTTGGTTGAACTCTGGTGTGCTATACAGCCTTTTGCAGGATAGTGCCTCTTTTTGCACTACAGCAAGACTGTACAGCATGCTATTAAAGTGGTTTTTTATTTTTTCATAGTAAGAATTAAAAGAAATTGCTGCCTTTAATAGGAAGATTGTGCTAGGAAAAAAAAGAACTTATTTCTTAGAATTAATATCCCCTTAAAAAAAAAAAAGGAAATAAGTATTTTAAGTTTATTTCATTATTAAATATATTGGTAGTGGCTTCCAGTTGAAAGTCTGACTACAGAAAATTGAGCAGCAGATAAGAAGAATTTTAAGTCAAATAATGGCTTTGTATACAGCAAATTCTGAAAAATGGCACCCGAATAGTTTGTTCATTTGGTTAACGTAGGGTAATAAAAGATTACCATTGGCTTTTTTTCCCTCACCTCTTTCAAGAACTGTCGTATTCTAACTCATACATCTTCCAATGGCCATTTACAAAAAGCTCTAACCACAGCGACATTTGTGGTGTGCTTGGTAGTCAGGTAGGCCTATATGTGGAGGTCCTATATTAAATCCTCTTTGACTTACTGTCACCATGCTCAAAAGGCCCAGCTTCCAATAACCAGCTTCTCAAACACAGGACAACGAAATTACGATCCCTAACCACCAATTCCATATGTTTCTATTGCTTTTTAAAAAAAAAAAAAAAAACCAGAACACCAAACCCAGATCAAAATGGATGCATAAGTCGTGCTGCTTAACGGATGAATGTTTGACATCTATACTACCCTGGCCACACTGTGAGGAATTGAAACTCAGCGTGCTTATGCAAGAAAGGGCAGTTCTGCTTAGGAATCAGAGAAAGTGGTCTTAAAAGGTAATTAGCCTAGCTGAAGTAGCTTTTGAACTCAGATGAAATATGGTCAGTATTTTAAGAATCTTTACGTTGTTATTAGAAATCAGAAATACGGCTTAGCTTAATTTACACTTTAATATATATATGAGAATAAAGCAGAGATTGCATGAAGCCATCTATCAATGAAGGTAAGGTTTAGATGCTAAAAATAGGAAATCATGCAATTAAAAAAACATTAAGTAAATGAAAGAAAAAGCAATTCTTAAGTACATAGAAAGAAGGTGGCTTTGTTTGCTTAGATGAAGTAGCAAAGTTAATAATTCTTATAATGCATTATGCCTGTATTCATATATGCAAAAATGCATGTAAATAAATCGTTCATTTGTCTTACACTGTCAGAGTTGCCTAATTGTGGGTGTAACGGAAGAATGTTTGTCCTCAGCCTTCTCAATGTCTAGCAAAGGACAGGGGGACTTCTGCTTTCACTGACACGTTGGCTGTGCGGAGAAGAACTTCCTAAAAACAGTAACTAGCTGTGAGATGAGACTTCCAATGTACCAACTCAGTTACAAATATTAAGGTGTTTGAACAGGGATTTTGTACACATTAGATGCCCAAGACCAAAACACAACAATAAAAACACTAACTTGGACATGATCTCATCACAGATACTGCAAAATGCTGAAGGTGTTTCCACGTGAAGGCTTTTAAGATCTGCTTCTGTACATGCCTGGAAATGTCCTACGCTGTGCCTAAGCCCTGAACTGATCCTGAAGTTAGTTGTCCCTCTGGCCTACCAGATTCAAGCTGTTAGGGTTCATCTGAAATTTCCTGTGGCTGCAAGGCAGGTATCACCTAAGATACCCTTTTCTTTTTAAATCATCTCTGAAGGAAGAGCCTGGTGCCAGTGTCTCCCATTTATTACACTTTTTCTGTAATTAGAGGCCTTGTCCCAGCAATCTTCTCGAGAAAACATGGCCCCAGCTGACAGCAAACACGATGTCTGAGGTGGGATGCTTTCTAACCCTCTGGTTTTGTGGACTACGTTTACAGAAAGAGCAGAAAGGTAGGAAACACCCTTTTCGTGCTTGTGCTAAGGCTGCGGATCAGAGAGAGGAGCATGGTGTTGGATTCAAAGACTACATATATATTAGTGTTTCCCACATTCTAGCTGAGAATAGCTTAAACTCCATTTGAGTAAGTCAGAAGAGTGTTTGAACCCTACTCTGAAGCATCTGTTCCCACACATGGTACAATGAAACTAGACAGAAATTATCCTCCATAGGTGTCTTTCACAGAGAAAGTTGTCTGTCATAGAATATATATGCTAGAAAAGCCAGAACTGCAGTGTGAAAGTGCATTTTTACACTAAGCCTTGCAGCCACGATCCTCCAGAGATCTGGACATTCAACTTAGAGTGATTGTGAAATACTGCTGAGAGTCAGTCCTTACTCCACTGACTAGGATAGCTAGGACAAAAATCCTTGCTGCATAAACTGACTTATTGCATTTGATTAGAAGTGGTTTACACAAAGAATACAGAAAACCCTTGGCTAGGCAGGCTCTCTCCTAAAGCTTTTGCAAAGATAAAGATATATAAACTACATAGCTTTTTATCTAAACAACTTTTCATCATTAAATATTTAAATGAAACAGCTTTTGCTAACGCTGCTGATTAACGCGTGTAGAAAATTGTTGTGGTCTAACCTCGGAAGGCAGCTCAGCACCACCCAGCCGCTCGCTCGCTCCCCCCACAGTGGGACAGGGGAGAGAATCGGAAGAGT